CCCACTCACTCCACGCACTCCACGCACTCCACTCACTCCACTCACTCCACTCACTCCACTCACTCCACTCACTCCACTCACTCCACTCACTCCACTCACTCCACTCACTCCACTCACTCGACTCACTCGACTCACTCGACTCACTCGACTCACTCGACTCACTCCACTCACTCCACTCACTCCACTCACTCCACTCACTCCTCTCACTCCACTCACTCCACTCACTCCACTCACTCCACTCACTCCACTCACTCCACCCACTCCACTCACTCCACCCACTCCACTCACTCCACCCACTCCACCCACTCCACCCACTCCACCCACTCCACCCACTCCACCCACTCCACCCACTCCACCCACTCCACCCACTCCACCCACTCCACCCACTCCACCCACTCCACCCACTCCACCCACTCCACCCACTCCACCCACTCCACTCACTCCACCCACTCCACTCACTCCACTCACTCCACCCACTCCACTCACTCCACTCACTCCACTCACTCCACTCACTCCACTCACTCCACTCACTCCACTCACTCCACTCACTCCACTCACTCCACCCACTCCACCCACTCCACCCACTCCACCCACTCCACCCACTCCACTCACTCCACCCACTCCACTCACTCCACTCACTCCACTCACCCCACTCACTCCACTCACCCCACTCACTCCACTCACTCCACTCACTCCACTCACTCCACTCACTCCACTCACCCCACTCACTCCACTCACTCCACTCACTCCACTCACTCCACTCACTCCACTCCACTCCACTCCACTCCACTCCACTCCACTCCACTCCACTCCACTCCACTCCACTCCACTCCACTCCACTCCACTCCACTCACTCCACTCCACTCCACTCCACTCACTCCACTCACTCACTCCACTCACTCACTCCACTCACTCACTCCACTCACTCCGCTCCACTCTGCTCCGCTCCACTCCGCTCCGCTCCGCTCCACTCCACTCCACTCCACTCCACTCCACGCCGCTCCACTCCACTCCACTCCACTCCACTCCGCTCCGCTCCGCTCCGCTCCGCTCCGCTCCGCTCCCCTCGCTCCCCTCGCTCCACTCACTCCCCTCACTCCCCTCACTCCCCTCACTCCCCTCACTCCCCTCACTCCCCTCACTCCCCTCACTCCCCTCACTCCCCTCACCCCCCCCACTCCCTCACTCCCCTCACTCACCCTCACTCACCTCCACTCACTCCACTCCCTCCACTCACTCCACTCACTCCACTCACTCCACTCACTCCACTCACTCCACTCACTCCACTCACTCCACTCACTCCACTCACTCCCTCACTCCCTCACTCCCTCACTCCCTCACTCCCTCACTCCCTCACTCCCTCACTCCCTTACTCACTCCCTCTACTCACTCCCTCACTCACTCACATCACTCACTCACATTCTCATTCACTTACCTGTGCATGCACATACATACACACATACAGAAAAAGTCACCCACCATCATTCCTCCATCACTCTTATACTTGCTCTTCCCTTCTTGCTTTTCTATGCTCAGTCTAAGTCTAGAGAAGTTGGTAACATGTGGGGTTATCCGGTCCTATAATTTTTTGGGATATTGCTTGGATAAACCAATGATGATCTGCTTGGTGGTTCAGAATTTGCATGTTCCATCCCAAAGCTTCGCCACGAGCCCTTGCTTGGTCGAGTGATTTTCCCTCTGTTCAAATTTGAGGATCAACTTTTTCCAGGAATTCTCGTGAGCATGGATCATTTTCCAATACACGGGAATGATGGGAATGGCCATACATGTTCATAGGAATTGTAAATATTAAACCCCATCATTCCCATCTTGGGGATTGTAAATATTGAATATGGGGATTTTCATTAAATATCATGGGGATTGTAAATATGAAATATACGATTCTTTTTTGGAATCCCCATTGGTTGCATGACCGTATGCTATTCATCCCATGTACCTTGACACATGTCAGGGGTACCCTTAAATTTTGGCGCTTTCAGGGCTATCCTCCCCATTTTCAGACAGCCCACTACATTAAGTTGGTGTAGTTATATACCCATAGAAAATAGTCAGAGAATATTCTTGATGGGTATAGAACATATATATATATAACCATTATATTTGAACATATTTAACCACTAAGTTGGCCTAATCTTAAGTTTGGGAGGCTTTCAAAAACACCATTTCCCATGCCGAGGACAAGTCCCACGGACAGTCGCTGCAAGTGACGGAAGCCATCTCCAACGCCAAGGAGCGCTGCTCGCGCCGTAGCGTGGCGGGGTGTTCGTGGCCGAAGCGAGGTGAAGATGATGGCATTTTTTGCTATTTTTTTTTCGTGAATATGATCAGTAATTGATGGTGAGTAATGGTTAACATTAATAGTGATATGCCATTTCTTGCTGATGGTATATTAATGGAATAGTAAAGCGTAAATTTCATCACGACCTCACTGCGACCGAAGCCTGGAATGATGGTGAATGTATAGGGGAATCATCCCCAACATAGCCGCAAGATTCAGGTTAGTGAAATATTATAATTTACCCAGATGAATGTATGAATATGCACATGTATGAATGTGTCAGGAAATTCCGATGGTGGAAGAAGTCACATTCTTGTGTCAAAGTGGGAGGATCCGGATTTTTTGGCAGAGTTTCCTAGAATTTGGGCATGAACACGAACACCAGAAATCTTTGGAAGGCGATTTTTTCTCCAATCACTATTGGAAAGTTGGTGGCTTGTGAAATGTTGCTGACTGTATAGCCTCTGGAGAAATTCGATCGCATTTGTCGACCAAGCTGGGAAAAGGTGACAAGTTTAACCAACATTAGCCTGGAGAGTTTACCAGCAAGCTGGCTGCCCAACACCGGCCAACCAGGTCCCATCAAAAATGTGTCACGGTCCGGTCGTCATCGGGATAGGGCAAAATGTCAATTCGACGGCCACAAATCAGGTTTGTCGATGTTTCCCTGTTAGAATTGCCATCTGGTGCTATTCCCCCATCTTCGGACAAATTCCAAATCATCCCAAATCAGCTTTGGGATGTATTAACTTTCCCTCTAATAGTCATGGCTATGGCTTGCTGGAACACAAAGCCAGCCTCTCAGAGCCGATGACACTGGCTGTTAGCCACTGAATCATCGCAGATTTTGTGGAGACATTTCGCAGATGGAGCCCCAAAATCATGTGAACTTGGGTCTGAAAATAGGGTATCTCTAAACTATTCTACAAAATTAAGGGCCAATCCCCAATTTTCAGACACACCGAGTTTGTCCAAAAAAAAATCTGAAGTCTCCAAACCAACTTTCCGACCTGTGGGCACAGCAATTGCCCTTCTGGCACATTGGCACCTGACAATGGGGAACAAAAACAGTTGTTATATGTTGTGATATCATACAAAGCAAGGCAAAGATACTATATTTATCCATGGATCATGGCCAAGATTCGGGATTCTCCAGCTAGACAGGTTTGACTACCGAAAGGTATAGCAGCCCCCAGAAAGATAGAAGTTGGTAAAGAGCACTCGAAAAAATTGAACCCTTTTTATCTTTGTGAGTTTTGGATGGTTTTGGGAGTTGCTATACTGTCTATGTTTGATGCGTACTTTGAGAGCTCAGAAATCTCACCCGGCCGCCAGGAGCAGTTGAGTTTTTATGCCTTTCGACACATCTATTTCCTGGCGATCCTGCAGCTTGCTCCTCTTTACCTTGTCTAACTTCGCGTGTTGGAGAAATCTCCCAGAAACACCACGCAATGCGTGGGTCAAATTGCAATTTGTGTATCTCTTGTCACCAATCTCTTTTGGATGACAACAGGTTCTGGAATTTACGGGGTACCACCATTTGGGATGAATTCTGCGTCCATCATTTGGGTTCCAAGCTTCGGACTGGTCAGGGGGGGAGAGGGTTGGCTCATGGCTCATGGCCATGCAAAATCCTGAATGAAATGGAGATGAATGGACAAGGGTCAAACACATAAACACGCACACACACACACACATATATATATATATATACTGTATGCAAGCGGTAGAAGGGCTCAAGTAGGATATGAAGAGTCACTGGAATCGATTGGACAGGGAGGGGTGTTCAACGCCTCATGAATCTCGCTCCGCGGCTCTTTTCAGCCAAGACTGCACGAAATAGGCATGTCAACGCCTATGAGTGCTGTGGTTAAAACAGCATGCCCCCCGCATCTTCTTTCTCCTTCTGAGATGTGGTGCTACCCCTTGAACATTCTCACCAAAAACAAAACCAAAAACAAGGAAAAACCAAACAGGACGAAAAAAAAAGTCATTCCGTGGGTTTCCATGGTGTCTCAGGCTCCGTTTCAGGCCCTTGACTCTTTCTGTTTTCAAGAGGTTCCAGGCCTAGCAGTTTCCTTTTTCGAGCTGATGCTCTCTCCCCATCTTCGACGATGCGCCACTTGTGGCCCACGCGGTAGAACAGGTGCAGTTGCTTGTGCTCATTGCTCTTGGTCAGCCCGTTTGACAGCTGGGCTTCACTATGTACCCATCTAATCTCCACAGCATTGCGAATCTGGGCAGATTTCAGGGAGAGTAACTCCAGGTCAGTTCTCTTCTCAGCGCCCTTCACGGACAAGACTTCGGTCTCTAACTTGTCGTACACATTTCTGGAGTCAGTAACCAGGCATCCATTGATCTGGTTGACGACACTGTTGATGTCTCTCACATTAACTCGAGCTCCCATCATCTCTGCCAGTTGAAACCTCGCAAAAAAGAGGAGATCTTCTCTGTTGTTTGCTGCTGCTGCTTCTGCTGCCCCGGGGCTGCGGCAGATCCTGCCAATCTTCTGCGAATGCCAGGCGACAAAGGTTACTGGCTCGCAGCTGCCATGACGTAACCGGTGAGATGAAATCCCAACTATAATGCCCTGGGTGCTTGAGCCATCTATGCGGTTCTGAGAGGCGGCATCTACCCATGCAAACAGTGACAACATGTGTGGTTCGATGGCGTGCACTTTCATGCAGTGTTCTTTCATATCTTTGACCTTATCAAGTAACCTGTTAGCCTTATAGATGGTCTCTATCGTGCTCTTGTTCACTTCCGACAACAGCAAGCCGACTTCAGCACTGAAGTGTGGTGCAACTTGTTGTGCGTGCCATGAGACCCCTCCCAGCAAGGCCCGAAGCTGAGTCTTCTCAGACTCTTCTGTTGGTGCATTTCGGTCCTTCTTTCTGAAGGCTCTCAGGTTTATATATTTCAAGTCTTCAACATACTTTGGTTGTGGCTACGAAAAAGAAAAATCTTCATGTTGTTCCACTTGGACTCCACATTGGGTGAACCTTTTTTCTTCCCAGTCTCCCGACTTATATTCCGTTTGGATACTTTTGAGAACGGTACACCAACCCTCATGTGTTTCATCCCCACTAAAAAGGAAATCATCAACATGACCAGAAATAATCCCCTTTGTGACCCCATCAACCACATAAACCCAGCAGCATGCGTCGCTCCAGCATTTTTGCAATCCGAGTTTTGCAAAGAAATCTGAGATGGAGCGATACCACTCCAGTGGTGCATCCACCAAGCCGTAGCAACCTTTCTTTACTTTTGTTATGGACTCTGCCGGAAGTCCCATCTTTTCACATATCTCTGGGCATGGTATACAAAAAAGGTCATCAGGGTATGGCCTGCTTCGCAGGAAAGCACCTGTCACATCACCTTGGCGATATGAAGCGGCTAATTGCATCTGCAGCTGTCTGGTCTGGCGAGTCTTGGTTGGAGAAGTCGTTGCTCTGCTCGTAGCAGGGATCTTGGTATCCTAAGAGAACGGCTCTGGCTTTTGCCTTTCGGCTGCCATCTTCCTTCTGTTTTCTTTGTCAGAATCCACCGCATTTTCACTGCTTGTTCGCGTGCTGGGCGAAGTTTCTCAGGAAGGGCTTCAAAAGCCTTGGCAGCAATGAAGTTGCTCACTTCCACGGCCTTTGCTGAGCGAAACTGTTGTCGCTCTTCCTCTGAGAGGTGGCGTTCACAGACTTCGACTGCTGACCGTTTCTTCAAGCTACTGGCAAAGTAAGAAGGAAGATCTCGAAGAGCTCGTTCTGATCCTGCACGTGTGTCTGGCATGGGTACTTCCACGGCTACGGCCGCGGTCTCATCCATCCAGAAGGTGCTCTCGGTGACCGCAAACACTTCCTGGATACTTGATTGGTTCCACCATGGTGGGGCAGCAGCCATGCCTTGTTGGGCACTCATTCGCGGCCTCTGTGACACGGGTGCTTCTCAAGATGTAGAAGTCGAGGGCCTGGAAGTTGGACTCCTGGATCGGCCTGCTGGCCTAGATGTTGAAGGAGCCGGTCCCATGCCACTCATCTCATCTACCATGGGGCCCCGTTTCCTAGCGCACCTTCTCATTGGTTGCCATTCTTGAACTGGGTCTTGAGCTCGTAGCCATTCTGCATAGGAGGGCACTTCAGTGGACACATCCAGAAATTCATTTCCTCCAAGCTGTTGGGCTACTCTGTCAAAGTCCCAGTCATCATACAGTTTGGCATGTAGTTCCTCCAAAAGGACCTCCCGCTCGGAGGCTCGACGTAGTTGCTCTGGCGAGCACTTGAGAAGTCTTCTCCCTCTAACGCACCAAATTGAGCTGCCCTGCTTGTGTGTCCCGTCGGGAGAGCGATGTTGCTCCACCGCCAGGATGCCGGCTGGTCCCACAAATGAGCCACCCTTGATGGCCGCTTGGCCGCTCACTTGCTTTCTCCACATGTACACCAGGTCTCCTGGCTCATAGTTGGTGACATCTCTTGGTTTTGAGTTCTTAGCTTTTTGGAGTCTCTGACTTGCCGTCCATTCAAGGAAGGCTCTTTCTGCACTTTGCATTCTCTGGAGTTGGCGACCCATCTCGCCGGAGGCATTTTCGATCAGCAGTTCTGGACATTCACATGGGCGGCAAGGGAAAAGTCGCCCGGTGGCATCCGGCGCACGGCCAAGAGCATGTTGGATGGGCGAATAGCCTCGAATCAGTTCTCGACTATTAAAGGTCCTAGTGGCTTCAGCCAAAGCTTCTGCTGCGGTGACTTCTGGGTCATCTTCAGCTATTTTGTTCATGAGGGTCTTGGTACCTTGAATAGCCTGTTCACAAATGCCCACCTTCCAGTGCGCTTCACCTGGAATAATGTCCAACATTAGTTGGTGTCTATCGCAGTATTCTTGAACCACATGACTTCTGAAACTACCATCGGGGTCGACCCTGAGTTGATTAGGAAAACCAAAATACTGAACCCAATGTTCCCCAAACGTTTCAACAAACTGGTTGGCAGTCAGATGACTTCTTTTCCCCATAAGAACAATTTTTCCAACACTAAAACGGCATCCCTCATCAACAAACATCAAAAATTGATAGGACTCCTTAGTTTGTGGGTGCTCCCAGTGCCCAATTTTGTTGGGTGAGGCTCCAAGGTGGCTAAAGGCCGTGGCTTTGGTCTACCCCGTTCCTTACAAACTGAACACTCAAAACGTTCAGCTTCCCTGAGCACATCCTCTGACACTCCCCTGCGTCGCAGGGCTTGCGCCAGGTGTCTGGTTGGCCCGTGGCCCGTGGCCGCGTGCAAGAGGTACAGTCGTTTTCTTATTTCTTCAACAGTTAAACCATGACCCCTTTGTTGGTTATCCTCCCCAACCAGAACTTCGTGGTTCCCCTTACTATCACACTTCACATTGTTGGTTCCCTTGATTCTTTCATGTTCATCATGGACACATGAACCGCAAACAAAACCATGTTGAGAATCATGAATGTGGTGACAACTGCAACTGATCCCATTACCAAAAGTTTCCCCAATTTGGTGGTCTCCCACAAATTCCCTTTTGAGGTCTTCATCTTCCGCTCCATGAATCAACGCGTCACAGACCCTTCGGGCAAATTCGGGGGTATAATAGGCAGCTTTGTTGGTAAGGGAACCCTCGCACTTCACATGTTTCTGGTGGGCCCCACAAATACATGGCATGTTCATCCTTTTTGCCAACAAGGCATGTGTGGTCATGAGTTTCCAACCTTTTGAAATTGGGTTTTTCTCATCATCAACCAGTCCAACACGACGACCCCGTACCACAGCAAACCATGGATTGTGTTTCTTCACCAGTTCCTGCATCATTGGAAGCTTCCATGCCTGACATGATTGTGACCATTCCCAGGTGACATGTATACCATGCTGGATACAGTATGTATAAATAACACTGCAACCGATATACTGTTTCATGGCAGCCTTACGCTTTTCAGAAAGGGCTTCCTTCTGGGCCTCACTTCTCTGATTGATGTTTTGCATCACTGAAAAAGGTCCACAAACCGGAGAAAGCCAAACATGTTTTGGTTTGTAATGGTCGATATCTTGAATGACTTTGTGAATCCCCTGGTTGGTTCCTAGATCATACTCATTGAAAAGTGAGCAGCGCCGCGCCGCACCCTCGTCACCTTTCTTTCGTTGCATGGTGCGAGACAGCACGCTGTCGGCCGAACATGCTACTTCCAGCAGCTCTATGCGCTGATGTGATAGCAGGGCCTCAAAGGCATTCGAAATCAATCTGTCACTGCAATGGGACAAATGTCTCACTTTTTGCTCAGGTAAGGCTTCCCATGAGCCTCTCCAAAGCTCGCTGTCGACCTGCATTCCCGCTTGTGACAAACTAAAGTTTTCTACACTCCCAGCTAAAGCTACTGTGGGATCGGCACAAATGAGCCGCTGGATGCTTCGACCTTCTTGTGAGGTCTCTCGGCTTTCAGATTGTCCACGTCCTCCTTGAGGGCGTGCATCATCTGCATCATCTGCATCATCATGTTCTCGGTCTTGCCATTCGAGCCGGTGGCCGGCGTCGATGTGTTCTTGTAGCCGCTGGAGGTCTGCTTGTAGGTCGGCATCGGATGCTGTGCCTCTGGACTCTGGAGCCAATTGGCAGACGAGCCAGGCGGTAGTCGCATTCCCCCTCGGTGGCGGTCTTCACGACCCAGCTGGCATACTGTGGGTGCTGGGCTAGGAGCTCGTGGTACTGCAGACTGCAGTGCTCCCCGAACCCCACAGGATCCTCCGGAGAGGCGGCTGTGGTCTGGTAGATCTTCTTGGTGCCCAGGCGCTGCAGCTCCTGGATGGTCTCTGTGCCGCGAGTCTTCACCATGAGCTTGTTGTTCACGTAGTCCAGGAGGTCGGACTTCTTCTTGCTGGCCTTGTTCAGCTCGATCATGGCATGGCGCATAGGTGGCCGTACCTTCCCTTTCTGCGTGACCATTCCATTGGCTTCCTTGAGTTCCAAGAGGCGACTCTCGATCTCCATGATGCTCCACTGTTTTGGAGCGGTCTCGCCAAAGGTCATCAGGAGCTCTTCCACCAATTCCTTTCTGGTGGCACGAGGCATGGCTATGGATCACGAACTTGTTGGGAATCTCGTCTAGCTTGTGCTGGAGAGCTGCAGGTAGAGGTGGTTCTGGTTCTGTACAGTGACTGCTATCTGAGAGTTTTCCGACATGTCCATGGAAACCCTGGGAAAGTTTTTCCTCTGAGAAGTCAATGATTGCTCCCAAGGCCCGTAAGGACTCGATGGAGAACAGCACTGGTCCTGCTCCAGCATCCAACGCATGTACTTCTACTTGTCCAGGTTTGCCATCAGCGTGGACCTCGAGAGAGGCTGTGGACACGCACTGATTCTTTGATGAATTTCCAAAACCAAACGTAGGCCTGTTTTCCAAGTCAAGGTCAGCCAAACGAGAAGTTCCATGCTTGTACTTGTTGAGGGAAATGATCTTCTCGACGGCCACCACGCTGCCAAGGGTCTTTGTGGCACCCCCATCAACGACCTACATTGTTGGTGTCGGTCACACCAAAGAAGGCCTCTGGGCAAACGTCGGAGAACCCGGCATCCAGGTGGTTCACCTCATGGTTGTTCGGGACATAGGGCTCCACGATCTCATGGTCCTTGGTGATCTGGTCCTGGGCGAAACAGATGAAAGGTGCTGACTGCTCTTCGGCTGAAGCGGCGGTCGTTGCAGCCAAGGCCTTTGGACATGATGAAGTCTTGTGAGGACCACCACATCGGAAGCATTTCTGATCTGAGCTAGAGGCTCCAGCCGAAGTACTTCCCGAGGTCTTGAAGTTGGTGCGATAGTACTTCCTGGACATCCTCACCTGATGTTGTTTTTGTCTGGCCTCTTTCAAGGTGCGACGACCGCGCTCCATCATGGCTAGGGCTTCTTGAGCCACATCTTCAGCTTCACCCAAGAGTGCGAGGCCCTCGTCATTGAAGTTGCGATGGGCCTGGGCAACCCAGGCAGTGTCATAGTCCTCAGACTCGGCCTCTTCATTCTCATCCACCCACCAGCTGGAGTGACGGTTGGCTGCATCTCGACGACGCAGATCCTCATCAGTCCACTGACTTCTGAGTTCCTGTGCCACTCGGGTCATGGTGAAGTCGCCCTTCAGGGCTGCCACGATCATGTTGCGCTCGTTGGTATCCAGGCCGGAGTCAAACAAGAGGTACCAGCAGGGGACATACTCTGGTAGTAGTTCAGGGGCCTCCACATGCCAGTCGGCATTCTCGGAAGGAGTCCAAGAGTTGCTCCACCAGTCATTTGACCACCAGTCCTGGTAACTCCAGGCATCTCCTGAAGGACCTGGACCAGTGGAGCTTCGCTCCTCAACGGCATCCTCAGTGGTCTCAGCTTGATCTTCAGGCCGAGCAAGCGTTTCTCGATCATCTTGAATCTCTTCAGCACTCAGGTCTGACTGCCAGCTAGAGAGGGTGTCCTCCTGTAGTTGGCCCAAGGGTCGGTGGACCCAGGACGGCTATAGCCGCCAAAGCTTTTCTCCCACGCTGGCTTCTTTTTCTCATAGCGAGACATCACCCTGTGAAGTCCTTGCCTAGCTCTTGCATACAGTTCTGACTTTCTAGTGACGTACTCATTCATGGTCTCCCCCTTTTTGCGCCTGGACTGACGGAAGTAACGGCTCAAATGATCCGTCAGCTCAGGCATCTGTGGAAGGCCCAAGTTCGACCTCAGGTACGTCAGAAGCCGCTGCACGCCTCCATTGAAGGAGAGCCATTCGGGGTGTTTGCCCACAGTAAACCTGCGAGCAGTGCCCGTCAGCTCTGTGAGGAGCCTCGGGCCGCACAAGTAGCGCTTGTGTATCGCTATGGATTGCTCCCACAGCAAAGCGCTCTCTTCAAACTCCTGATATGTTCCAGCATCTCCATCCCAAATGGGAACTCCTTCTCGCGTCTTCTCTATCCTTTTCTGCTTCTCCGCCATGTTGTTCCTCCTATGGCCCTGGCAATAGGAGGCTGTAGGTCCCTGGTCTCACGCCCGCCAGTAGGCAGGCTCCGCTACCGTGCAAGCGGTAGAAGTGCTCAAGTGGGATATGAAGAGTCACTGGAATCGATTGGACAGGGAGGGGTGTTCAACGCCTCATGAATCTCGCTCCGCGGCTCTTTTCAGCCAATACTGCACGAAATAGGCATGTCAACGCCTATGAGTGCTGTGGTTAAAACAGCTGTATACATATAGAAAAATCTATGTGATTGCCGATTCGCCAAGTTTGTGTCCGAGTTACCTTGAGGTATCGGTCCAAGCGATGTCGTCTAGCCCCAAACTAAGTTACCAGGTAGGGATACCAGGGCTGCCAGTGTTGGGTAAATGTCCAATTTTTGTTTTGTGGGATCTAAACATAACCTTTAGATGGTTGATGGTGATTCTCTCAGTTGTTGAGGTTCCTTTTGGGACACGGATCACGCCCCACAAATAACTACCTGAATTATTTGCCGACTCACAAGTGAGCGGTTTGAAAAACCGTGGCGTTGGTTCATGCAGTTCTTGGAAGGTTGTACTACCCAGTATTGGGAATGATCACAAAATACATTACCTGGGAATCTGAATGCCACCCACTGTATTCGGCATATTTTCCACTAATTTCCATATGATAGGGGATTATACACTTATTATACTAATTACCATACAACCCATTATATACGTGTAAATTGGTTATCAGCAGTCCCATTTTTCTTCCATAACACAAATGATTAAAATCCACAATTTGTCCAAGAAGTCCAGCCCATTAACTGTAAAAATTAATTACCCAGCAGTCCCATTCATTCCTATTGCCTAAACTAGTTACTTATCCCAAGTATCAGGAATGAACGGTTATTTGAAATATGTTTAGTTAATGGCAAACAATTCCACAATATACAGCCCATTCTCTGAGGAATTCTCCAAAAACGGTTGGCTTTCGGTACCAGTGCTCCGCCTGCTCCGCTTGCTGTGCCTGCTCCGCCCAGGTACATGATCAACAACCAACTGTCCTTCTACATCTACACGCTCCTTGCCGAAACGCAAATGGAGACGGTGGATAAGTTTGGTGCAAAAAAAAACATATTTGATGGATATGTATCTTTATGCATCTTGTATAGGTTTTTTGAGACATAAATCAACCATAGCTTGATGATTACTGGTTCCATATCAGCGGTCTTGCAGCTTCACCTATACCTGTATGTCTATATATATATAGGCATACACATAATCCATGGGTAATATAAACCCTCTAATGCATGAAACCCATACAACCATACTACCCCAGCAATCCCAAACAATCCAATAATCCCATACAACCCACATGAATACAACAAATGTGTGAACGAATCCCATGTTTGCAAAAGAACAATGAATGCCGAATAAATACCATGTCTTAAAGTCATTTCATGATGAAAGGGAAATCTGCGGGAAAACATTGTCTTCCCCAGATAGCGAAGCTTTTGGGGTTCTTACTTCAAGTTTAGGAAGAGTTGGTGCCGCTGCAGGGTGCCGCTGCACACCTTGAAAAAGCGTTTGAGTGCTGTCCGCGAATACCTTTTGCCTTTTGATATGCTGGCGTAATTCCATTCAAAATAGCGGGGGGTTCCTGTAACTTTTACCTTAAGCCAATCCAATGATCTGCATGAATTATAGTGACCTCAGGTTGTGACGTCACTGGAATGATGGTGAATGTAACGGGAATCATCCCCGTTTTTGTTTTCCACAGCTATTTTCAGGTGAGTAAATTATCGTAATTAAGCCAGAAATTGACCCCCCGAAAACCATCCGTAGGGGATTCCAAAACATACAGTATTTGGGAACATTGGGGGTTCCCTGTAATTTTTCCTTTAAACCAATCCATTCTGAATTGATTTTTCCATAAATCCCAGCCCAATTTCCTTAGATCCAATGATTTACGGTCTTGACTTGGTGGACCGACTTGGTGGACCATGCTGGACCCGCAGGATGGTGGACCCCGGCACCGTGTTTCTCTTCAAGGCTGCCTCCACCATGATCGTGGCGGCGGTCCAGTGCACCTTCGCCGGAAAGGACCGGGGTGCTGGATTTTCCAGCTGGCCACGGTTGATGACTGCAGGCTAGTCACTATTGGGTTCGGGAATTCAACAAACGCATAATATATATATATACACATACATATATAAAAGTATGCGAATGTTGGATCCAAGAATTGGTTCACAAGCAATTTGGGCTTCATTTCCATTTCCGCTCAAAATTGACGCTCAAAGGAATCCATTGAATGGATGGTGGCTTGAGGTCAAGTTACTTAGGTTAACCGCGAAAATCAGGGGAACCTCTTGTGTTAGATTTTTGGGCGCTCAATGTTTCAAGTTCGAGGCATTTTGAAGTCGGAACATCCCTCAGCTCAAATGCACTTTGGTGCACGTGCAGAAATCGAAAGGCCCACTGCAACCCAACACTTTGGCAGCAGTCCTTGAACATGGGCAATGTTGGGTACAGGCAGACATTCGAACCTAACAAATGCCAACATCCCATAGGTTATTGCTGTTTTACTGACATATTCGTCCCCCCAAACACGTTGTTTTTTCTGGCAATTCTTCACTTTCACCTTGATCTGGACTTGAGGGCTGCAACAACCAGTTGGCTGGAGGAACAGAGCTACTGGCTGCAGGAATTTTCAGGGAATATGGTTGTTATGTTTGTTTGATGATACAGTATTTCATGGTAGAATCCTTCTACATTTGATGGTCAAACATATGTAAAAAAAATCAATGGTTTCCTGAAACCAAGCCACTGAGCCTGCAGAAATTCACCTGGGAGCAATGGAAGGCCATGATGTTGCAGGTCGCACAGGGTGGTGGAACGGCGCGCTGCTGGTGAATGGTCCGTACAAATCGCAGATCAAATGAGTTGAGTTTCCACAGCCATGTTTTCATCGTATGTTTCTGTGTAAGTAAAGGTAACTACGATTGACCCATGGCCAATTCTTTTTGGGACCTGAGTAGGTCTCGGGCCTGATGCTCAGAGATTGGCGAGCATACTACCCTAAGAACTTCATTTTGTAGATATGGGTTTGTCCTAAAACGGATGGTTTACCCATAGAGTTGATGATCAAACCATATTAAGGTATATTCCACCAGGGTCGGACACTCGCTCCCGACGCCGAAAATCAACTCGCTTTCAACGCCGGAAACATACTCGCTCCCGACGCCTCTTTACTTACATCGACAACATGCACAACATCAACAGCAAGAACAAAATCAACAGCAGTCTCAACATCGACAACACAAAAACATTAACAACCACAACAACATCATCAACATTCACATCAACATCAACGCCAACAGGAACAACAACAACAACAACAACAACGACAACAACAACGACAACAAAAACAAAAACAATTACAAAAACAACAACAAAAACAACAACAACATCATCATCAACATTCACATCAACATCAACGCCAACATGAACATCAACAACAACAACAACGACAACGACAACAATGACAACAACAACGACAACAAAAACACAAACAAATACAAATACTAAAACAACAACAACGACGACGACGACGACAACAACAACAACAACAACAACAACGACAACGACAACGACAACGACAACAACAACAACGACAACAAAAAAAACAAATACATAAACAACCCGCCGGACCGGAAGCCGTTCCCATAAAACGCACATTTTTCAAAAAATGGTGATTTTACCACAGTGCCGTGCCGATTTGATGATTGGAAATCCTGGAAAAACTTGGGGCGCGTTTTTTCGTTTTTCAGCGTCATCGCTGCAAAGCATGCGTAGTAGACAGCTGGCAGTCAGCATTCTTGTGAATGCATCTCCACTGCCAAGCTCTAGCGTACACCATCAAAAGGTCACTTTTTGCACTCAAGTACCTGAGTCGCGAACCTGCAGCACACAGGATGAGCAACCGAACAAGACATTATTTACATAGATACTATCATCAAAGTGTGATTATGTAAGCGGACCGAAAACCTATCCGTCACTACCGCCCCCGAACCCCTGCGCAGCGTAGCAACATGTAACGTAGTCAAGAATCCCAGAGATCTCAGCAGCGTAGCAACATGTAACGTAGTAAAGAGTCCCAGAGATCTCAGCAGCGTAGCAACATGTAACGTAGTCAAGAATCCCAGAGATCTCAGCAGCGTAGCAACATGTAACGTAGTAAAGAATCCCAGAGATCTCAGCACCGTAGCAACATGTAACGTAGTAAACCTTCGCAGAGATCTCAGCAGCGTAGCAACATGTAACGTAGTAAAGAATCCCAGAGATCTCAGCGTAGCAATATATCATGTACGAAGTACAAGGAACGTTAACATGCCCCCCCACCCCACCCCAACCCAACCCACACTAGAGATCTCAGCAGCGTAGCAACATGCAACGTAGTAAACGATACCAGAGATCTCAGCGTAGCAATATATCATGTACGAAGTACAAGGAACGTTAACATGCCCCGCCACCCCACCCCACCCCACCCCACGATCAAGATATTCAAAAACGTGCGTTTTACGGGAACGGTTTTCGGTCCGCAGGCATAAACAACAACAACAACAACAACAACAACAACAACAACAAAACAACAACAACAACAACAACAAACACCACAACCACAACCACAACCACAACCACAACGACAACGACAACGACAACGACAACGACAACGGCAACGGCAACGGCAACGGCAACGGCAACGGCAACGGCAACGGCAACGGCAACGGCAACGACAACAGCAGCAGCAGCAGCAGCAGCAGCAGCAGCAAGAACAACAACAATAACAAAAACAAAAACAACAAAAAGAACAAGAACAAGAACAAGAAAAGCAATAACGATGACGACGACGACGATGACGACGACGACGACGACGACAAGAGCCAACAAAAGGTCGGCGCATCGCTTGTACCTCCAAAATTTTCTCGCTTGTGCCTCCGTTTTTTTCTCGCTTGTACCTTGCTTATAGGTACCACTACTACTACTACTACTACTACTAGGTAGTACTACTACTACTACTACTACTAGGTAGTACTACTACTAGGTAGTACTACTACTAGGTAGTACTACTACTAGGTAGTACTACTACTACTACTAGGTAGTACTACTACTAGGTAGTACTACTACTAGGTAGTACTACTACTACTACTACTACTACTACTACTACTCCTACTCCTACTCCTACTCCTACTACTACTACTACTACGACGACGACGACGACGACGATGACGACGACGACGACGACGACGAAGACGACGACGACGACGACCACGACGACCACGACGACCACGACGACCACGACGACCACCACGACGACCACCACGACGACCACCACGACGACCACCACGACGACGACCACGACGACGACGACGACGACTACTACTACTACTACTACTTAGACGCTCCAACGTTGCACAAAGGACAACAGATCCAACAGGAGACATATACCGTTGTCATGGGGATCGGACGATGTCGTGAGGAAACACATGATATGACAAGACCTAGAGATCCGTATTGCAAAACAAGAGTTGCAGAAATATTACGATGGATCTGGGCTATTTAGGGTTGATCACGACACCGTCTAGGGTTTATCACGACACCGCCGACATTTTAGGGTTTACCACGGCACCGTTTGGGGGTTTATGACGACACCGCCGACATTTTAGGGTTTGTCACGACACCGCCGACATTTTAGGGTTTACCACGGCACCGTTTAGGGGTTCTGACGACACCGCCGACATTTTAGGGTTTACCACGGCGCCGTTTAGGGGTTCTGACGACACCGCCGACGCTTTAGGGTTTACCACGGCAACGCCCAAGAACACCACACACCTGCAACAGGCCTATAGCTGTAGTGAGAAGTTTCGGCAGCTCACCGCAGAAGCAGTATAGCCAAAGCAAAAAATATCCAAGAGTTTCTTTGCAAATCTACAAAGGATGTTTATTGGATGCATAATTTCTATGCAAAATCTACAAAAGATGCTACATTTGCACTGCCAATTCTTCAAATATATGAATTGCGTCATGCACTGGTGGATTTACTTGAGCCAGCTAGAACAACATTGTAACCTTTTTTCGCTGGTAAGTGTGGGCCCCGGGGCCATGTGGCGACGGGAACCACACTTACACACACACACATATATATATATATATATAGATTTATTTGTTTATATATAAAGTACCACCAACCCCCAAACAAATAGGTCTAATATCAACTTTCAATGTTGAATGGAATGGACTTGTCGTTTGGGGTGGCCGTAAGGTTATGGTCTGAATTTGGGAAAAGTTGTTCCACAGTCGACTACTGAATTTGGGAAAGGTTATGATATGGCATGGCCTGTTGTTTGGGAGCCCCGCAACATTTCAAAATAATGGTCTTCGTTTTCGCGTTTTGTTTTTGTGACCAACCCCATTTGATGTCCATTTGAAATTCGCGATCATCTCCTATGAAGTGAGCTGGAGCAAGTTACAACCTCAGGGTGTAAACTTCGAGTAGTATTATTTTGTGTACGACCATGGTGTTGTGCCAACACGACTTTTTTCAGGGCATAGCGGCATATCTAATAAGTGTGTCATGAGCATATGTATGTGTATATATGTAAATATAGTTACATAGATACAAGTATATATATATAGATATATCTACGTATATGTAACTGTAAATATATTTATATATATATATATTTACATATGCATATCTGTCTACATATATATATATTTATTTATTTATACCTCATTATATATAGATTTTTTTATTTATTTATATATATATATATATATGCATACATAAATATCTATTTGTAGATAATTTACTTAATGTTACATCCCGCATGGTCCAATCGATCGAACTGCTTTCGGGCCTTCCGCCCCGTTTTGGCTGTAGACACTTAGTCCCTCAACGGCAATGCTGATTTAAATATATTTAAATGTCAGTTCGTGGATCAAACCCACCAAGAAAAATCATAACTTCCGAACATAAAGTAGAAGTTGACACACTACAACAGGGGGCCCAAATTCGTCACCGAAATCATCCCACATCCCTTGCAACCCTGGATAGCCATGGTGGCTTTCTGGTGAAGCTGGTTTTGCGTGGCGACCTGTTGGTCTTTGGAATCGTGGCTGCAACAGCCCTGCAGCCAACCCAGCAGCGTCAGTTCAGTGGTTTTTCCCAAAAAGGGTTCCCTATATAGTAAACATCACAAATACTGAGATTTTTTTGGTGGTTATTTTTTGAATGGTGTTTACCCAAATGCGTATGGATTGAAGTCTTGTTAAACTTTCTTTCTGGAGTACTGACGCCATTAAACCATTTTGGCCATGTAGCCTGAGAGGGCAACTAGGTACCGCTCTATAGTCCTTTTTTGGACCGTACTGCCGTGGCAACGGCACGCTGTTTTTTTTTATGGAACCTAAAAACTTTTCATCTGACCATACGTGGTGAATTCGTGGGTTCACCCTTGTAGTCAACACATCCATGGCAACATGCCACAGGTAGTGGTGCTTTGGCCTCATTTTGAAGGCCATAACTGAATTACTCCAACACCACGACGCCAAGAATTCAGTTGACCGAAGGTGTTGGTGCAGCATCCGTGAAATTTCCTAAGCGGACAGTGCAGTAATGAGGGCCACTGGCACAAAGATTTTTTTTCCATCCAGAAAGCGGCGTTAATGTCATAATGTTGCACTATGATCCAAACTTTTGCATATATGAACATACCAGGTAAAATATCCTTTGGGGATGTTGGCATCACCTGTGGGAGGCTGTAGGCTATATAGGAGGTGCAAATGATTTGCAACAGTTCAAAAACCAAATGACAGAATCTTCAAAGATAGCCTGCAATTTGTGGTAATAAAAAATGTTACCCAGGAAACTTGGGATGCGATATTTAAATCAAGGGGCACTGGCTTCGTCTGGGTTCAAGATTAAACCAGCATCATCCATCAAAGCCTGCGCTTTGGCCAAGGAGTGGCAGCAGAGGTTCAGCAGCTGGAGGACAAGGTTGTCCTGAGAGACTTGGCAAATGGCGGTTGGAACGGAAGGTTGCAGGTCACCGTTCACACTGGGAAAAACTGGTCAAAAAATCATAAATAGGTTCAAATCAAGAATCAGAGTTTTCTGTAAGTTGTGGCACTTTGTGGGCAATCCACCAAACCATAACCCGAATGTGGGCAGCTTTGAACCTGGAACCCAGCTCACAGTAGTCTTCAGAACCAAAGGAACCACAGTTGGTAACGCTCAAAACCCTGCGGGGCAAGTAGATCCTTGTTGATTCATGCAGACCCTTTGCAAAAGGAAAGTAGGTTTAAGAATTGGAGCACCCCAAAAGCATGCAAAGAACACCAGTAAAAATTATAAAACATACCTTGGCTTGCTACAAGGTGCTTTCGCTCCTTGCAGTCTTGTTTCATTTCCATGCTAACTCGCCTGAGGAACTTTTCATCAGACTCCCCTCCTTCATAGTGGTACCCGTAAAGCTTCAAGATTTTGAGGCAAGATGGGATGTGGTTTTTGGCTATGCCCAAGTAAACCAAATGCATCATGTCAAAGGACATGGTTTCAAACTGAAAACCCGGCACTGCACACCATGGCGACTGATGCCTTGCAGTCTGCAAGTATTCGTCGTGGTCCTTGCAAGTTGATGCATAGGGAGCGTCTCTGGCAGTGTTTTTGTAAGTCATGGGATGGGGCCGTGAATCCATTGGTTGTATCGCCATGCAACGGTCACAACATTTTTTGCAACGGTAGTATTGTTCCAACCTATGGCATTGCATCCGGGCTTTCAAGTCGGCCTTGAAAGTCATGTACACCAACCTGCAGCTGGCCAAGAGGGCCAATGACGCAAGATAGATGGTTCAGGGTTGGGCTCCATCCCAAATAGAAAACATATGAAAAAATATTTCTTTTCAAGGAGCTTGTAGCCACCTGCAATCTGTTTTCCAGACAAGCTAGACCTGTACATGTTGCTGTCAAACCTTTCGCCATAAAAACCACGGCTGGGGTAGATGCCTCGCGAAGCCCAGCTTAGACTCCATGCCACCACATCCGCTAGGGTCTTGTTGACTCCTTGTCGGACCTTGTGTTGGGCCGTGGGCACAACAATATATTGAACACAAGTCATGCTTTACCAAGCCACGCAGATGAACCATCTTTCAATATATCATGCACCATTTGCCATGACGGCCATTGCGACTCACAACTATGGAAATCTTTTTTGGGGGTTGCTCCCTGAAATCAGAAAAACCAGGGAGCCCGTGTAACTTTGAGGGTGATGTAGGCACATGAGAATAAAATTCTTCAAGAACAAAATTCTTCAAAAGCCAAAGGTCTTCATCATCACTCATGTGAGATTCTGCAACCAGTGAAATAGGAAACCGGCTTAGTAGGTTGTCATTACCAGAGCCTGTTTGCAGGGCAGTAGTCCAGCTCATCACAAAGTATTCGGAATGCCTATGAAACTCAGCACCGTCTCCATGAATAGCAAAGGGTATGGCCTTTGTCAATTCCTCTTCAGACAAGTTGTGGAGAACATCATGATACTTGTAGCTGGATAGTGTTTTGAGATGCTTCCAGAAATGGGCTATGGAATCGCCACCATGGCCGCCACACATCATCGAGCGAAACTGACAGGGTTGTTTGGGTTTGTCTCAAACTTCATAGCGCACCGTACTGAAAGCCAAAAATGAAATCAATCGAAACAAATCACTATGCAGTATTTTTGGGGTCCAACGTTTGAGACAAACCGATATGATAAGGAATCCGTGTTTAAAAAAACAATGTGGCAATGTTTTCCCGGTGTTGTATGTTTATATATATATATAATATAATGAATAAGTACATCAGTCAATAAATGAACATATATATATATATGAAAATATCTATATATGTATGTGTGTGTAAGATCTTGTGGGGGTGTTCTACGACGTGGTATTGGATCTGTGCACTTCGGGATGTAGCTATGCAAGTTTAAGGGAACCACCTGCATAACCCCTTCTGGTTGGTTTTCGGAATTGCAAACTTCTGTTTTCTGAAATCATACTTTCTTGGGGTGATGATTATTGGACTTTTTGGTAGACAAATCTCTGCCTTGTGTTCCCCCATGCTATGCAAAGCACCAAATACCTCATGAGGTAGCAGCACAGATGCATCCACGATCTGAGGATCCTCGTCTCGTTCTACCTGAGCAGAGCGACTCCATTGATGGAATCTCGGCAATCGTTGGGTTGGGCAAGTAAGATGGTATACCTATATTTTAAATATATATATATATGTATACCTATATATATATATGTATACATATATATATATAGGTATACATATATATATATATATACATATATACACATATATCTATACATATATATGGGGGGAAATCCAAGCTTTATATGAAACTATCTTGCAAAAGAAAAACGTTTGGTCAGTCTAAGGGACTTGCAATTTCAACTTGATGTTGTATGGTTGCAGTTGCAGCCCATTTGCTCCCCGCAGTAAACGTTGGAAATCCCTTTCAGTGTTTTGGCTGTGTTTCCCATGGGAACCACAGGCAGCAAGTTGCCGAACCCCATCATGGATAGGATGAGAAGCTGAATCAACTTCTACAGCCCTTGCAATTTCAGCCGCAGTTTCCACATGAGCAGAACCCCTGCCAACCATGTCAACCAGGGTGTCAAATAGTAAGCTCTGACCCGAAGAGACAGGGCCCAGTTTGCACCTTTTGGCATTGGCAGCATTGCCTGGCAAAACGGTTTTTGGAAGCAAACCACCAATGGAAAATTGTTGGGTGGTTAGAATAAATGTATACAGTGTACCCAAAAATCATGCAAAAGGGATGGGGTGTTCTCACCGAATGATACTGGGAGCTAGTGATGCACATGTCAATGATGGACACCATATGCAGTGGTAACGACAATCAACAATGGAACCACGTTAATGACATGCTCTTTCCCACTGATGCTGGATTGATTGGGATCCTTTTTTTCCGTCAGAGAAGCTCTGTCCGATGTTGAACTCCAAGTGCATGCTGTTTCAAGCATGGCTAACCCCAAGACATCTCCTTTTCAAGAGACCTAAGTTCTGGCTTTGGCCTTGGCTTTGCCTTTGGCCTTTGCTTTCTTACTCTCATTCAAGCCTTTGAGAATCCCAGACGCAGATGCCTCAGGGGGCACCGCATGAAGTATCCAATCCCAAAAAGACATAAACAAGCTAACAAATAATTCTGAATATTGTTGTCCCAATGATGTGATGTTTGGATGGAAGTCTAGGGTCCCATCACTTATCCCTGGTAGAGAAATACCATGGCTTTTAAGAAATGGAAAAGATCCCTTAAAGCATCAAAGAAACATGTTTTTATTCAACACCAAACCTCTGCTTTCTTGTACCAGTTCTGCATGGTTTCGATCTTCCCAAGGGTGCATTTGATCTTTGACTCATCAGGCGAATTCATCTCCACGTTGTT